TTGATAATATTATTTGTTAAGGGGCCCCCTGAGACGTCACTGGACTGAATAATTTTAATATAGTTAGCGCTACACGAGCGTTTTATCACTAAAATTATCATTACCAGAATTAAATGAACATCTGCTAAAGGATATTAAAAATATTTATAATTAAAATACTCGTTAAAATTATTAAAAAAAAAACTTAACCCCAAATATCTCCGTTCATGTCGGATTTATAAAAAATTTGTATGGGACATAATTTGATCCAAAATTAAAAGTACCTGCCATCGAAAAAATTCTTTGCATTGTGGCGCCACCTACATCTTGTATTATTTAAAAACATTTTTTACACAGTTGTAAAGCCAATCATAGAGGCTAAAAACTGACGTTTACAGAATTTAAATGTCACTTTTAGTTTTCGAAATAATTGGCCTGGGAGTTTTTATTGAAACACCCTGTATATAGTAAATTTAAAAGTAAACTACGTACACGTCATCAATCAGCTGATCGGGCACGGTTGTCAATGTGATGCTAAAATCCTTGCATCAAGGGAAAGTGGTAGTGCAACTACAGGGCGATAGATGGCGTTTACATGAATAATACCAAAATGTCAAAAGTCTGAGTTTTTATAACCTATATGATGCACCGCCAAAAGTATGTTTTTAGCCATTTTTAAAGACATTTTCTGATATAAAACCCAAAAATTTTGCCATCTTAAGTCAGTCTCTGGTATACATATATTATTATTTTATGTCTCCAACATATATTTTGTTAAATATTCTAATATATAATTAATAATAATCCTATTTACCTCTCTAACAGCTGTTAAAGGTAACAAAGGTCCATTATTATCCCGTTCTGCCTCAAAATAGCGTATTAAGGATGACACCAACTCTTGACTCCGACTATTTAAATGATTCGGCATTTTAAATATAGGAAACACAAAAAAACGATATATAACAAACACAAAAACGGCAATGAAAACTTAAACGATATAAAATAACACAAACAACAAACAAAATAAACGAAATAATATACGAATTAAACGAAATATTCAAAAACACAACTGACAGCTTCGAAATTCTAAAACGTCAAATTCTTTTTTATGTGTCATTTAAATATGAAATATTTGAATGTAAATATGACAACATCTTAATTGTTGCCAACTGAAGATGTTTAAAATGCATTCAAATATTCAATTACAGACTTCGATTTAGTCATTTAGTGTTGGTACCAATGCGGAAAATTTTTGTTTTATTGATGACGTGTACGTAGTTTACTTTTAAATTTACTATAATTCACTTCTTGTGCCAACAGTTTTATGCTTTTTATTTCATTTAATATAATATCCTCAATTATACTCAATAAAAAAAAATCAGCAAAAAAACATTTCAATATTCCTAAATTATCTAAGAAAAACCCTTATGGATACGTGTATCTTTTGATCAATTAACTTCAAATTTTGCAACAATTTGTTATTTTTTTTATTTGGAACTGATGTGTAGATCCCGCCAAATTTAATTTAAAAAAAAATTATACAGGGTGTTTAAATTTATACTGGGTGTTTCCATTATCTTTAAATTTTGATCTGATACAGAAAATTAAGTTTACGTGTCCGATTTTTTTGCAAAAATATTTTAGGAAATTTGTTTTTACCCCTAAACCGATTGAAAACCGATAAAAAATGAGACCATCAATTTTAAGTGGTACCTTATTATGGCAGCGGACACAATGACATATTTTTCTATCTATCGAAAAAATAAGGAACGTTGACGAAATTACCTTTTCGTCATTATTGTGTTTGTTTTTGTTGTATTACAATTAGGGTTGCCAGGTTCTGTCGAAAAATGTAATTTACAATATTTGCATATGGACTGGCATTATAAGTGATATGACCAGTTAACGAAACGGCACAATAATATCAGTGGCGTATCCACTGGGGGGTGGCTTACACTTGTCTTACTATTTAAAATGCAAATTTTTGGCACACAATATATAATATATATAATACCTAAAAATAGTACTCGTAAGCTTGGAGCTCGTAAATAATTTGTACTTAATTGTTACTTGCCAGGCGGTTTGTTGAGAAAACATTCAATTTCTTATCATTATGATATTTATTAAATTTTAGTACTCCGTTACAAAAAAATCCTACGTTTATCCGTAAAAAACAAACTGTAAATTTAGTGCAATAGGGTATAGTGGTATATATGCGTATACGCAAAGATAAAATCATCTGGAGACAAATAAATAGGTATGCTTCCTTTTATGTAATTGAAACTTACCTCCAAATCTAGGTGGCGGCTGTCATTATTTGTTAAAGAAAGGTTTTTAAAATGCAGAGCCATAATTAATTTTCTAAAATAGCTGATAGGCACTTATTTGCAATATTAAGGTTAATTTGTGGGTTATGGTAAATTAACCTTAAAAGTGACATTTGACAGTTTGATGACAGCCTTGATAGAATAAGGTTTATTTTTTACAAAAGAGCAGTTATGCAGTACTTAGCACTTTAGGCCTCATTTGAGGCTGACAAGTGCCTCTGTAAGAAACACAACGTTTAAAACGATTATTAAACCGCCCAAACCCAAAGCACAAGAATTGTAAACAACAAAAATGGCTGCCGTTAAACTCTGTGCAGTGTTGCACTGATTTTTAGTATTTTTATTAAGTACAAGATACAACAGACCTTGTTGTGTGGATTGTGGTGCGGACAGATATCGCCAAAAATCATATAAAATTCATTTTTTTATTCCTTCATATCGAAAACGGTGCGTATTCGGACCTGTTACACATGTTTTAAAACACCCTGTTTAGTTTGTATGCCCTGTCATTCGTATATGAACGATGCAGAAAAATTTTGCTATCCGTCATACACATATCGCACATGGGCGACAACAGTGTCATAAGTAGTAGAACCTTAGTTCTGAGATAATGACCGTCAAAGATTTTTGAATAACAAAATTCTAACATATTTGTTAAATTATAATAACTTACAGTATTTTCTTTGCAAAGGAGGAACCACACTACGATTCTGAGTCAGTTAAAAATTAGATTTTAAAAAATACTCTTTTTGAATAAGATCTATTTGTAGATATGTCTGTGTTGCCGTAGAAGGTGTGCATCAATTTTGAAGATATGTCTGTGTTGCTGAAAATGTGTTGATCAATTTTAAATTATTCATTCTTTTATTGTTGATTAAGAATATGAAAAACGTATGACTGGCCCCATCGGCAACTGATTTTCCGCCACTGCACAGCATTGCCTGGATCTGAATTTTTATCCTGGCTGGTAAATTTCGCCTAGGAGGCGGTGGTTTTTGAGTGACATTGAACTGATCCAAAACTAAGTAAAAACCGAAATCCCCCTCAACCAGGAATTTAGTAATTACCCCATTCAATTGGGTTTCCTAAATGGGGCTCGGTTGGTTAGTACGCTGCTAGGACCTATCTGGTCCAGATGTTTTTTCTTTAGGATGAGTTTCTTTTGCCTAGTGTTTATTTAAACTTGAGTAATTAATGACTGCTTATGTGAGCCCTTATTTATGAGTTCTTTGCCCATGCTTGCTGTTTTTATGGTAACTGTTGGCGGCTAATTAATATTTACCTGGTGGAGTTCTCTATAAGTTGAGGTTGCGAATTTCGCATTAAAATTTAGTTTTTAAGTATTATTAAGGTCATCCAGGCAGGTGTTTCTTAACCTCGACAGCCAACTATTAGCAAGTGTTGTTTCTGTGTTGGTTATCCAGGAAAAATTATTCGTTGTATCCAATCACCTCACTTACACCCTTTTTACAGAAATTCACAAGCAATTTGCATCCTTTTTGCACTTGGTTTTGTTAGACCACGTGTAGAATCATAATGGATTTTATGAATTTGAACACCGCGGTGCACCCATAGCGGTGGTAGCACTATGAAAGTACGAACTCCTTAAACGAGACCCTAGACACACGACGAATTACTGTCACAACTTACAGCCAACTTACGTATGACACTGTTGATGAAAATTATGATAGGGATTATACAAATTGCAAACAGACACGAGTGTCAATCTAGGGATTAATTTCAAAAATATCTTTTTGCAACTTTTGCAGCATAAACTATAAGTAATTTTACACTTATTGCACTAAAAACCCCAAAATTCAATTTTTTCGACTTATGACACTGTTGTCGCCCATGTGCGATATAAATAACAGTGCCGGTGCGGAAAGCACAATGTCATTTAAATATTAATCACCTGACACGCAAGGTAAATTTTTTCAATATTTTTTTCATAAGAAATAATAGGATATTTATTTTATTATTAACCCCAAAAATAACATTAAATGTTTGTGCCTCAGAACATGTGGACAATTTTCCGTATACATAATAATACAGGGTGTTACATAAAGGTTGCGAAAAACAGAATGGTGGATTCCTTGTAAAAAATATTAGGTGTTTTTCTATAAAGTTATGCTCTACGCCGTATCATAAACACGAAACCCCGTGGAGTCTACGGGCATTCTTTTTTATGTTACAGTGAGTTAAAATTTTAAAAAATAAAACTTAAAATATTAAAATTGTTTAATAACTTTTAAACACTAAAAGATAAAAAACAAAATCGTAGCAATTTCTTTATTTGCACACCATGGTTAAGCTCTAGTAAAATCATTGACAGTGAAGGTTATTAAGTGGCGCAGGGGGAAAGTACTCTGAGATGGCATACTTTTCTAAATAAGTAATTTAAAACAAAAATTGGTGCAAACAATATGTTTTATTTTTAACAAAAAAATTTTCACAACAACTGAATTAAGATGCATATTACATGTAAAAAAATAAAACGTAAACCTTTTCAAAAACCATCTCAGTCACCCCCTAAGGATGAGATGGCATACACTAATGTGTTTTATTTACAAATATCGCAAATTATAATTTTCGCACTTCTGGGTAGGCCAATACAGTCTGCACCATTTTTGGTTTTTTTGGCAACGTAGCCACCATTCTCTACTTCGTGACCTATTGTATGGTCCAAGGCAATAAATGCAGGCTGGATTATCTTCTTCTTCTGATCCAGAATACTCCGGTTCTTCTTCATCACTCCCAGAAGATGATGGCATAAGGAATTTTCTCTTGGCTGAGCGGGTAGCAGATTTTATTAAAACTGCCACTTCTTACTTCAGTTCTTCAATCTCCGGCTTAGCATTTACAACTCCGAATTTTCCTTTTTTTCTGTTTGATCTACTTGTAATAGTTGCCTTAGGCAATGGCGAAATTTCGGATATGCTTGGGTCCTTGGATGTTAAAGGACCAGGTTGTTCCTGGGCGGTTACTGAAAGCCCATTTGGCTTTTCTGATACCACTGGCTCTGGTATATCAGTTACATCTGCAGGTGCAAATATCCAATCCGGAAAAATATTTTCATTAAGTGGGAATATTCCAGCAGCCGCAAAACCACTTTGGACATTTTTCACTGTTGCAGCTCGAAGATACGCTTCTTTGAATATTCCTGTAACTTGTTGGTGAGTTACCGTTCTACCAGGGTGACTTTTGAGCCAAATATTCAATTCTTGATTATAAAATGTATTTTGCAAATGTTAAAACATCTATGTGCTTGTGGCTAGAATGACCATCTAAAAGCAACAAAACTTTTTTTGAGGTAAAACTTTGCTGTATTTGACAAAATGTTGCAACCATTTAAGAAAGACCTCTCCATTCATCCATCCCTTTTCTTGTGCAAATCCAACGAAACCCGTTGGAGCATGGTCCATTAAATCTAATTTCATATTTTTTCTGGGAAATATAAAAACAGGCAGAATGTATGTTCCCAGAGCGTTTACACAGCAAACTGAAGTGAAGTGATGGCCTCTCTCAGCACTTGTTAAAACACCAAACCTGTTTTCGACCTTTAGTTGCAAAAATCTTGGTGGGTTGCGTTGGTACTGTGCTAAACCCTGATTCGTCAATGTTCCAAATTTGCTGTGGCTCAAAATTATATTTTTCCATTATTTCGGTTAAGTGACGGAAAAATGTTTCCACTTGAGGTCGGTTAAAACCGCGGGCCCTTGCAGCTGAAGTAGCTTCCAGTATGCGAAGAGATATTGTAGGATTCCGCATTCTAAATAATTTAAACCAACCTCTACCAGCCATTTCCTTTTCAGTTGAAAATCTGTGGGGAAGTTTTTTCTTAACGGCTATTTGATACGCTAACCTTCTAACATCTACCGAAGTCACCCCAAAGAATCTGATTTCCAAATCTTGTAAATGATTGACTATTTCCTTTTCCACATTGACGTTAAATGTAGCCTTGTGTCCACCTAGATATCCTTTTGAAGTATTCCCCGTTTGAGCACGTCGCCGCAATGTGGTAAACGGAACATTAAAAGTTTTGGAAGCCAATAACCAACCCATTTAACCGCTCTGAACAGCATCGATCGCCTCCCTCATATGGTTCTCAACCCACGACTGCCTTGGAGATTTCCTAATATATGGAGCCATTTCTGAAATGAAGTTTATATAATTTGAGATAAATTGTATAAAAAGACTAATATATTTTAGTGGTGGTTGGGTTGGTGTTTTCATTGGAAATTATATGCAATTTGCTAAGTCGACTTGGGTTTTTTTTAACTTATAATATATATATAAGGGTCGAGGATCAATCTTAAATACAAGTGGTTCGAATATACCTGAACTTAAGGTTTTCTTTCGTTGTAAAATGCTTGAGCTTCGAGCCAAATTACAACTAAAGAAAGACTCGAGCGCCAAAATCTTTAGAGTCAAATTAACAAACCACCAGGTTTAAGTTAAAAGTAAAACAAATCGTGACAAAAAAATGTTGTTGTAGCTTGCTGTCGGCAAAAAAAGAATTGGTGATTTTTTCTCTTCTTGTTTATATGATAAATGCAGACGAAATCGAAAGCCTAACCATGCTATTTTGAATTTATCGTATCTATTTATCTGTTTATAGGTCGGTAGGTTTTGTTTACTGGTTTTTACTGGTTGCTAGGAATAGCGCATCGCGTACTTAGTACCTAATAAGTCAAAAACATTTGAAGATAAGTAAACGATTCAAAATGTTGTAGATTCAGAATTTTGGGTAGAATTCAAAAATACAATAATAATTATAGGGTTCCATTTAAAAAAACAAAGTTACTGTCAATTTCGGTGCAACCCAAATTTCAGATTGATGTCTCTCCTGAATAAGTTGGGAGAATCACCTTGTATACACAGTGTGCCCCAAGATTACCTAGGTTGACCAAAAATGTCACAAGAAACGGAAAGTGGGGTGTTATTCTTTAATGTTTAGGCAACTTAAAACTGCAAAAATTAAAATCTGGTCTGAACCTTATTTTGAAATATTTGTTTTTTTCTTTAAGACACCGTTTCAACTTTAAAATGCACTTTAGATTAAGTTTAAACTACAAAATAAAACTTTAGAAACAATTATGTAAATTCACGTACGTTTCAAATATATCCATACAAAATACATGGCCGCGAGTAAAAAATAATGACTGCGATATAACGGCCGCCATGTTAGATTGAACGTGGACCAAAATCTTGTCTTGGCTTGATGTCCTTGATTCTCATAACGAGACTTTATAATTGCCTAGTTTATTTATGCCATGTTTTGACGTTTCTAAAACAAAGAAAGGTGAAAAAAGTCCAATACGTTTCATCACCCTATCTTTTTATCTAACCCGCTTTTTCTATTTCAATCACAGACATTTTTTTGGTCCACGTCAAGATTCACGAGGCCACCATGTCAGAGTCATTTCTAAAAACGCTTTCCTTGTACAGATATATTTAAGACGTACGTTTGTAAAATTAATATAAAAATCAAGTCGCCTATGGTGTCATATTATTGCAAAAACAATTGCTTCTTTTTGAGACATGAGATATCGCTTCTGTCAAATAGCGCTATTGCTAGCAGCGTGCTTGTCAAAAATGTTTTGGCGTCCTTACAATTATTATTAAAAATCGCAGAAATGTGTGTGGATGTTGTGGCAGCAAAATAATTTTTGGAAATAAGCCCGTCAGCCAGTTCTGCATAACAAGTAAGTTAGAAAGCTTAATTAAAGTGTGGATAAATAAGGATTTTGATATAAAAAACAAAAAGTGCCAAAACTATATTTGTGGATCTTGCAGATTATCTTTGTTGGATAAGAGATAAAAATAATTTTAAAAGACCTTTGCCATGTCCATTTAATTTTGCTTCTGTTAAATTACAAAAAGAGACACGCCAAAACACACTCACATGTGAGTGCCAAATATGTCTGTGTGCTAGGAAAAAAACCACGTTTCAGTCACTAAAGGAAGGGGTCGTTCAAGACATCTTGAAGAAAATAACTTTCCAGTTCGTAACACAAAAAAAAATCGGTTTCAACATGCAAATTTTGTTTTAAAAGGTTGGGCAAAGGTATAAGGCACATTTGCAACTACACTCAGGCACGTAAAAATATAAAAAAATCAATAGAAACATTGCCAATAAAAAAACAGGAACAAGTGTTTAGTTCTACAATTAAGCGTTTGCGGTCTAAGCAAACAGGTACCAACATTTCAAACCAGAACTCTTCTCAAAATAATTTTGAAATAAAACTATCAACTGGTTAAAATAATAATTAATCCTGTCAATAAAAAAAAAGTTGAGTTTTCGCAAAAAAGACTGAATCAATATCAAATTCACAGTGGTTCAAGTTCAAATCAAATGAGAATTTTGACCAACTTTTTGAGGTCCAATGCTGGAAAAAAATCAGTGCCTAAAAACTACAGAAATAGCGTTAAAGAAAAGTCACAAATTTTGCAGTCTATTTACCAAAGCGGAACTTATGAATTTGAGATTGACCATGGCAGAAAAAAAAAAGACCGGCAATTTGGGCAGATGCAGAAGAGCTGGTGAATATGGTTATTGAACAAAGAAGACATACAGGAAATTGCAAGATCAAGATCATGGCAGATGGTGGGCAAGGATTTTTTAAAATTTGTTTATCTCTCATTCCAGAGAATTATTGCCCAGAAGCAAACAAAATTTTAAGAGAAGAAGAAAAAGAAAATGAATGTTTAAAAAAAATAACTACGTATGAAGAAGGTGAAACGGTTTCAAAAATTGCAAAGATTACTGGTGTTTACAAAGTAATTTTACTTTGTATTGTCACTCAAATAAAAGAAACCTATCAAAATATAAAACTTCTTATGGAGCTAATTAAAATTAATAAAATTTCGTTTATTTTTGTATCTGACTTAAAAGTCGTTTTATTAGTCAATGGATTGCAAACTGCCACCTCCTTCTATCCATGTCCATTTTGTCTTGTCTGAAAGAATTACGTTCACAAATTGTAACAGCAACAACAAAAAAGTGAAAGTACCTGTAGAACTTGGAAATCTAAAACAACATTATGAAAAATTTTGCTACTCTTTAGACAAAAATAGGAAAAATACAAAAAATTGTTACAGTGTGATAAATTGCTCTTGGTTTCAAGAAGAGGACTCAAAAAAAGTTTTGGAAAAATGTGTGATTCCCGAACTCCATATTTTACAAGGATTCGTTAATCATATCTTTTGGGATGGTTTAGTTCCTATTTTAGGAAAAGATGAAGCGCTCAAATGGCCAAAAAAACTAAATTTGATTTCCAAAAGTTATCAAGGCGACTTATTTGAAGGCAATGCATGCCGAAAACTTTTGGAAAACCCGGATAGTTTGTTAGCTTGTGGCATTGTTTTTAATGGTGAAAAAACTGCACTGCACCTTGTACCAATTATTGAATCGCTAAAAGCCTTTGATAAAATTGTTGAAATGTGCTTTTCTTCAAAAAGAAAGTGTAGCTTTGATGAAATTTTAAAATCCATAGATAGACTGAAAAAAACATATGCGGCAACAAATCTTTCATATACATTAAAAATTCATATAATCATAGAACATCTTGAAGAATGCTTGAGACATCTGGATAACTCGGAGGGTCTGGGGCTATGGTCGGAGCAGCCAGGGGAGTCACTTCACCGAGAATTTATAAAAACTTGGAAAAAGTACAAAATTAATGACATCGATAATCCGAATTATGAAAGAAATTTGGCCAAGGCAGTAGTCGAATATTCATCATTACATTTATAAATAGCTTTGTTGTTCTTGATTTTGATTGCTTTGTAAATTTATAAATTACTTTCAATTTTCTTGATTAAAAACTATTTTAAAATTAATATTGGTTTGGTTTTTATATAAAAATATTTTTATTTTTTTTGTGCGTCTTAACCGGGCGTAAATGTGTTCAAATTATTTTAATTTACAGTCCTCTAAAAAAACGGTACTGAATTTATTTTTAAACATTTTCACAATAATTCCAATAACTTTATTTACTTACCTTTAAGTTATACAATAAAAACAGATATAGAAAAAAATAAAATGGATGCCCATATTTAACACATAACAAGGTAAAAAAAAGTAAAAAGAAGAAGTACAAAAAACTAAAAAATTTTAATAAAAGGTTTAGCTCTTATTTTGTTTCATATAGTTTTAAATAACAAATATAACCAAGAATCAAACCTCACTCTCAGTTTTCTGTGACATGTTTTTTTAACTTAAATATCATTGGGGCACACTGTGTATAATAGAGGCATATAAGTGTTATAAAATGGATTTTTTTTAATATCAAAGATAAATTATTTTCCTCTGTATTACCTATTCCAGGAATAAACTGTATCAAGATCATAATTGGAAACATTTTAAAAATAAAACCATTTAGTCGTCATATTCCAAAACAGATAAAGCATGTTTTTCATAGATACTAAAATACTATTTTTTTTCCAGAATATGTTAAAAAATTTCTAGAAAACAGTAGGTTCCGACTAAAAGAATGCGGATTTATGGGCAAAACATTACTTGGAATTACTACAATTTCTATTCGGTCTGATGCTATGGATGGCGTTTGCAAAATACCAGATGGGATAAATGAAGGATTGTTAGTGTGGAAAGTCATAGAGGGAACACCTGGTCATAAGTAAGTATTATTAAATATTATACAGGGTGATACATATTTATTGCACGACAATTTAAGGCCAGGTGCATTTGTTAAGATATGATGGGTTTTAAAAACTTTTAAATTATGTATTATTTTTTTTATATTTTAGCATTAAAATGTAACTCACGATTTTTTTTTTAAATATTAAAAGTATTAAAATTTTGAATAGTCAAAAGTTACAGTGTAATATTTAATATTAGCACATTTTTGTTTAGTATAACTTTTGTAATCAGATGTAACGGCAAATTTACCACCAAAATAAAATAACAATGCTGTTGTTATTATTTTTGAAACCCACCACCATATTATTTATTATACCCAAATCAACGTTATCGCATATAGTAGATAACGTTTTACTTGCACATCGTGAAATTGAGCGAAAATCTAGGGTTCCTTCAACATTAAAAATATGTTATTAATTAAGGACATTAAATAAACCAGGGATATCCAATTTTTTTTATCCATTTTGTTTCAAAAATAAATAAATTTAAAGTTTTTTTGTTTAAAATATTCCACCTTCTCATAATTTTACAGGGTGTTTCTTAACAATTAAGATGCTAATACTGAATGGTCTTAATCTTTGGATTATTTTAAATTTTTTGTTCATATCAAGGTAGGTCCGCTACCACTTTATTGAAGAAATATCTTTAATTAAAAAAGTTTTGTTTTCTTAATATCTTTAATATCGCTCTATACCTACTTATTCGCCAAGAGCGATACCCAGCAAACATTAAATCATCAGCCGAAGATCGGATAAATGTTGGCAATTGATTGTCGGTTAAATGTCTGAAAATAATGACCAGAAAGCTAATGTCAGCAAAACGTTTGAATAATAATGTTTATTTTCCAAATGAAAGTACGAAATAATAATTATTATTTAAATGTTTAATTAAATACAAAAAATAAATTAAAAACACTTAAATTTTACCCACCATAAATATTTAAATGTCGAAAAATGATTATCGGAATAAAATATTAATTTATTAAAAAAAATATTAATTTTATTTACTTAAAATGTAAAATAACCTATATTTAACACAATTGCTACAAACAATCCTAAAAATTTAAATAATTAACAAAGTTAAATAAATACAACAGCGATACATCTTACCGCTGCTTACTCACCCTCGCATATTATAAATACCGATAGGCTACAAATATTTGGTTGGAGGTGTACGTCTACAGACAAACGATTTATCATAAGTTACGCATAGTCACTTGGAATTGCCGGACCTTAACCGGTAAATACCACACTCTCATAACCTTCCTCAAAGGCCATGATATCGATATACTCGTCCTCAATGAAACAAGATTGGGACAAAGAGACCGCCTCAACCGCCATCAACGGTTATACCACTCATAGGCAAGACAGGCCCACTATTAATGGGCAAACTAGCGGCGGAGTAACAATTCTCAACAAGAATATTAGAATTTTATTATTACAACCCAATATACGCATAGGTATTGAAAATATTACCATCAAACTTATCGATAACCTGTACGTATGCGGGGTATACAATCCGCCTAACAATAAATTTAGCGTTAACGAACTAGATTTATTAACAAATATTCGTCGCAAAATACTTCAACGCCACACATGATATGTGGAACTGCAGTCGAAGTAATGAGAATGGTAGGACGTTGTGGGGATATGTATTGAATTCTGTTCTTGCTGCACACACGGACGAACCAACTCATTACCCAGACAATGGATCGACTCCAACCACAATCGATTTCTTTATCCACAGAGGCGTTGAAACTCTGCACGATATTACCACTATAGACGAGATGGACTCAGATCATATACCAGTCTCAGCTACAATAAACTTCAAGAAAGAAATACCTCCTGCAAAGAAGGTATTTGACTATAAACACACCGACTGGAATATGTTCAGAGCACATATGACTAGGCTCACCAATATAACAAACACGATCGACAGCCCTGAGTCCATTGAACAGCAAGTCGATCTAATGGTCGCCAACATTAAAACCGCGAGGCAACTTACCACGTGCAAAAAGACCATTAGACCTCAAACAGATCGTCTGCCTGCAGATATTCTCGACCTGATAAAGGATCATTCAACAAAAGGCAGACCAAAACAGCTACAACGAACTCAGGACTGTCATCAAACATCGTATTGATGAGCACAGAAATAGAGCTTGGTATAACCTATTAGCCACACTAAAAGCCAGCGATAACTCATTATGGAAGGTAACTCGACGGCTTAAAGGCGGTCAAAGAGTCCCAATCCCAACAATCACGGATAACGATGGCGAGTATATCGAGATAAAACATAAAGGCCGTCACTTTGAGAGTGTACATACTACTAATATACCCTCACCGACGGCCGAGCAAAGAACGACCACCCAATTTGCAGAGCAATTCCGACAGAGATTATTCCAAATTAATGGCTTCACCAGATAATGTACGTAACATTTTGCGCAAGTTACCCATAAATAAAGCCCCAGGACCTGATGATGTTGACAAAATTCTGCTCAAGAATCTCCCTAAGAAAGCAGTCGTTCAACTAGCATATATAATCAACGCAATACTGAAAAGGCAGCACTTCCCAAGGCAGTGGAAAGAGGCGATAATAATACCAATACTAAAGACAGGTAAAAACGCTAGTCAAGCCACCAGCTACAGGCCTATAAGTCTGCTGAACACCTTGTCCAAGGTAGCCGAAAGGTTAATACTGGACAGGGTCAGTAAGTTAGACAAGCGGCTAGGCCTCACACCACAAGAACAGTTTGGCTTTAGACCAGGGCACAGCACCGTCCACCAAGTCGCAAGGATCGTTCACGATGTTAAGCAGGCATATAATCAAGACCAGTCTACGGTTATATTACTGCTTGATATGGAGAAAGCCTTTGATACGGTTTGGACGGACGGACTGATCCATAAACTCCATCTTATAGGTCTACCTATATACCTAAGACTCATACCTAAGAGGCCGTACATTTAACGTAAAAGTGCTCCATACACTTTCCACAAAATACACCATGAACACTGGCGTCCCGCAGGGAACAGTGCTTGCCCCGATATTCCACATTTCGTGAAAAGTAAGCTAGCTCTTTACACCAGCTCAAAGCCTACTAGGACAGGTGGTCTATTAAGGTAAATCCAGCAAAGACAGACCTGGTTAATTTCTCGCGCAAGTTTACCAACAACAGAATATTTGAAAGTGTACAGATTGACGGGCACGCCATATAATGGAGCTTGCTAACAAGTTCTATGCCTTCAGCATAAAGACCTCGCCGCTAACGCGCAACATTACAAGTGTCAGGCATGGCGACCCGGACATTATAAAACATGGCCTCATTTATAAAGACCTACCTGTGTATTTTGAAAGGAGATAGGTGTCCCGCCGCGGCAAGCGGGCACATTGCCTGAGCCGTGGCGAGGCATTCTCCCGTTAAAATACACGGGGACTCGGAATCTAAGTAACAAACCAACACCAAAAGACCTACCTGTGTACTTCAAAAGGAGATAGTCTGTCTGGCCGCGGCAAACGGGTACAACACCTGAGCCGTGGCAGGGTAGATGGTCTTCCGAAAAAGTGCACGGGGACGCGGAATCAATGTTACTTGAGACCCACGCAATTCTATAAATTAATAAAAAAAAAATTCAAATTTTGGACATTTTTACTTGTAAAAATGTTCAACTAAGTCATTACTAAATATTTGGTTAACTTCTAAATTTCTTAAAAACATGTAAAACTTGTAAAATTTTTTCCGCCCGACACCATTTACGAACTACAGTTCATATATATATGCGCAAAATATCGGCTGTCGCTTCCTAACGTACCTGCGTTTTTTCGCTGTACCTTTGAATTTAAAGGTGCGGCGACAGTAAATAAAGGTATGGCGATGGCTGATATAATCCCCCAAAAAACCACCCCAAACATCCAACACAAAGCATACACACTAAAAACTAGGAATTAGCCCAAAAAACCCAAATAGCACGAACCCAATCCGACTACCACGCCTTTATTCCAAATAAAGGTATGGTGACCGGAAAATAAAGATGTAGCGACTACACCAGACACCGCACCTTATGAGGCCAATCCAACACCTTTTCTCGTCGGGTCTTAAT